TATAATTGCTCATTATAGGAATTTCGTTCTGTTACTAATATAAATAACATTTATATTACCATAAATCAAGTAAGATTTATACAATATTAATTAAACCTATATAAATTTCTTGTATTTTTCTTCAGTGTTCTCAGTTTCAATTGAAAGTTTCACTGAATAGAAGTTTCAATTATCCTGCGGATATTGCGACAAAATACATAATTTTCTTATTGTAGATTTGATAAGATCAACAATGTTATTTACTATTTATAAGAGAATTTTATTAAGTAATTCATATTTAATCACTAAATTACGATTAAAATTCATATTTAAATACAATTAAAGCATTTGAAAACAACGGCCACTGACGGGAACATAAAAAATAGCAGGCGTTTAGAGGTGGCCATTGTTGGATATTCGACTGTAATTAAATTTGAATAAATGGAATATATTTAGAAGTTAAATAGAACCATATACTAATTCTTTTCTGCTGTTAAAATTCTTTGATCGAAAATTGGATATTTTAGTATTTGATCATAAAGTTCACAAGGATAGATGCCTGTACGTTGACACTTCTGGAATGCTTTGAAAATATCAATATATCGATATTCATTGCTCTGAAATATGTGACGTTACCTTATCTAAATCATATGTACTGTAACTGCTTCGGTATTTCCTATTGCTGAAATTTTTAAACGTTTATTAAAAATCAGCTGCAGCTTTTATTTTGGGGGATTAGTACAAATTTTCTATAAATAAGTCGATTAAATATTTTCATTTTAGTTTTTCATAAGGATACTTTGTATAAATCTACTATTTCAGATGTTATTTTTTTCTCTATGAGTTAAAGAAAACATCTTTTAAAGTTATATATAGACGCGAAAAGAAGGGAAATTCCTAAAATTACAAAGTTAACAAGCTAAATCGAAAACAAGTGAAATGTTACGATTATGCTTTAAGTATAAAATAATAATTTATATCGAGAAATTAGTTTTAATAGAAACATTTTCCATGATTTTTAAAATATCTTGGTCATTATACTTTAATTTAAATTAATTAAGATTTGTTTTAAAAATTAATTAAAAATTATGTATGTCATTTGTTTTTTATCATACAGTTATTTTCAAATATGAAATATTTAATATTTGATGTTAAAAAAAGTTCACTTTCAGTTGAAATTTCATTTCAAACTCCTAACAGTCCAAAATTTCAATTATAGTTTCTATAATATTTTCTTATAAAATTAATTTAGAACCAATAATATGTTATTAAAAATACAAATAAAAAGCATGAAATAATTGTCGATAAAGGCATTGACTCTGTTACAATTTAAGAAAAACCTAACTTGACAGGAAAAGTGTAAAGGGTGGTGACATCCTCTGATAATATTGCTTACTAATTAGCAGCGGCGTAATCAGGAGCTAGGGAAAGCCCCCTCTTACCTTTGTAAATAAATAAATGAAAAATTAAAATAAGTACAAAAAAAATACACTTATATATAAATACAATATCTCTATCCTCTGTGCTTGTGTACATTCGCAGTGTACAGAAGTATGTGCAAGGTTGCACGTTCTAATTCGTTCCCTAAATATCGGTTCTAGTTACGCTAGTGGTAATTAAATCTATTGTGGACAATGTGTAATATCTTAGCGATTCCAAAACTTTTATTAAATGGACAAGCCTAAGATACAGAATCTTAGGTCTTGGTAGATTTAAGATTATAAACTATGGTTTTTAATTTGTGTAAAATGCATTTTTAAACTGCATTTATTTTATGTATTAATAATTGTGATTATAAACAGAAAATATCCTATAAATACTTGATAAATTTTGTAAAAATATAATAAATTATTAGATTAAATTTATCGCTAATAAAGATTAAAATAGTTATCTTGTCATGGACTATAACAACGATTTAATTCGATTTTAATTATAATATATATATATTTATATTTTAAATTACTTGTATTATATTGTATTAAAATCAAGGTTAGGATGTAATTATTACTGTTAAATTATTTCGTAGTAAAATTTCATTTGTTTATCGTTTAACTAACGTCTTGCTCATGCTGATATTTGTTATATCATTCTACGAAGATTAACTGAAAGATGATGTACTCGTAAATGCATATAGAACCGATTTCCTCCAAGTTTATTATACAAAAGTACTGTATATTTACATTTATCTTTTGTTTCTGAAGAGTTTTATAACTTTAAATATCAAATATATTTTTAATAATATTACTGTAATATGATAATTCGTAAAACTGGCATTTAAATCATAATTAAATTGCGATATCAAATAGAAGCATCCTCAATTTTTAGTACCAATAATAAGTCTGAGATTTTATCTTTTTGTCCAAATTTTCAATAGTTTTTTTCAAATAAAATCATCTTAATCTTAAATAAGTCCTCCTCTCTCTATATTTTTGAATTTCTATACAGTCAAACCTTTAATAACTGCCATTTTTTCAGGAACGTTTCTTTCTTTTTGAATTGCATACAAAATAACCTTCAAACACAGGCCACCTCCGAACAATAGCCATTTTGTATGTTTCCATCAGGGGCTGTTGTTTATAGGTTTGAATGTATTTAATTATGAATGAAATTATAAAAATTGTAATTACTTAAAAATGATGTAAATACTTATAAAATTCATTAATTATACATCAACTAATTGCTTGAATTAGGAATAAATTAAATATTGTAATAGTTTTCTTACTAGCGTGAAAGAATAAGGCTCTTATTTATTTAAAAATAGTTATTGTTAGTTAAATAATAACCAGTAACGATTTTGTTCACATTACATTCAATACAATAGAGGCAAACAATAAAATAAAATGAATGAAAAAGGAAGCAAGCAATAAAATAATTTATTCAAGAACGATTTGACTTAATAAATGGAAACTTATAGACTTGTAATAATGGAATGTAATTCAATCTTAATTTACTATAAAAATGAAATGAAGAAAGAACAAAAATTAATACATTAGTTTATTTTTAAAGTATTGAAATATAAAAATAATCATTTCCCTTCTACAGCTGTAAATAAGTTAATCATTATTCACTTGAAACTTTCGTAAATATATTTAAAAATGAGAACAAATGTGTAAACCGAAATGTAATTATTCTTTTTATTATTATTTCCCTGTTATTAATTATATTAAAAAATATTTATAATTGACCCATAACGTATGAGTTGGCTCTCGGTATGACTGAAGTCAAACAAATACGACGACGAAAGAATTCTATATGTATTGATACTACCAGATTCGATCCTTCATTTCATGGCAGTAGGAAAATTATTTGTTTTGAGAAGTCTATTCGATCAACAAAAACTGCAAATAATATTTCTTTGATTACAATTATATAGTTTATTATAGTCGACACAGAAATCCCATTGATAATTATTTAAAAAAAACATACTTTTTTAACTCCGCCCTATGGACACTAAGAGGATTTTTTCCATACGCATTGTGGTTTCTTTCTTCCAAATTCAGAAATACCGTATTTTACAGTATATAAGATGCAACACCATTTTTTCACAGAATATTCAGTAAAAAGTGTTTAGTATATTTAAGCCATTTGGCGTTTTTGGCACTTGGCCTCAATTTTTTTTTATAGTATTCTGGTTTTAAAAAAATTAAAATGCACACTTTTATTTCTTAGGGGAAAAGAGGAGGATGAAATATTCAACATGAAAACATGCAAAAGCTGCTTAGCTATAGCAAAAGACATTTTACAATTAAAATATCCGATAACTATGAATACCGGTTCACGTACCGTGGCATAAAATAACTTCAGGTTAGTCTTACTCAATACAATAAAAGTATAGACAAAAAGCATTACTGTTCAATAAAAAAAAAAAAAAACTTTAATCATCTTCAAAGCCCGAAAATTCTGCTTCATCAAAACCTAAAAAATGTCATCATCTTTACCCTTGTCTTAAAAAAGTACACTATATTCAGTTCAGTCTAGAGCATTACTAATTCTACACTGTTTAATTAAAGGATTCATAATTAGTTCAGTTTTTATATCATCTATGCTTTCTTCATTCATTCGCACTCCTATGTAATGGTGGATCTCTTCACTCCTCCTGTGTACGAACTGGTTATGGTTTATGGAAGATCGTAACTTCACTTTAAGATGCAGACCAATTTTTAAGCCTGTTTTTGTATGAACGTTGCATCTTAGAAGCCATATATTTAATCAATTTACTTATTATAAAAAGCTTCACATCCTTTGATTATTATATTTTTCTTTTCTATCAATATAGCTACTAATTTAGCTATTAACGAAACTTATCACACCACAATGAAAAGATGACCAGATTAGAACTTTATTCTTTAATTAACTCCAAATTTATAGCCAAATTGGTAAGTATATTAATAGAAGAGAAAAATTTAATCAGTTGTTTAATTATTCTTTTATAATTATTTATTATAAATATAATATGAATTTTAAACCTTGAATATTTATATTTGAAAATTTATATGGTCAATAAATTAAAAATACCGGATCTCATGGCCTTAATTAATATTTAAATTATTTAAATATTTATAGAAACAGAGTTATTTTGGAGTTGAAAATCATATTTATCAATATTTTAGGCATTGATAACATTCAAATTTTATAGTTTTTTTTTTTTGAAAAAGAATGTTGAAAGAATTTTTTAAATAGACCAAATATAAACTTAGAATTAAAGCCTCGAATTACAGCTCTAAATTTTGCGTTCTAACAGCTAACAATAAATTCTAAATTCTTTGATTTGTAGCACAAAATATACGTCTAGAACGTTGACAAATTACAAAATATTTACCGAACCATAAATTTATTTAATTTACTGTTTTATTTTAATTAAAAATGATAAAATTTATATAAAATATAAATTTATTTAATTGTTAGGCTTATATTTTTATGGACCAATATTGAACAGAATTAGTGATAATTTTTAAAATTACATTTAAAAAAAAAAATGTCAAATTTCCTGTCAGAATTAGGGCATTCACTTATTTGATATCCCAATCACATTCATCTGTAGAATTCTCAAGGTTGAATTTCATAGTTTTTTTAGAATTCAGCATACAGCTGGTAAAGGAAAAAATTCGAAACCAACTGTAAAGATATTTCTAAATATTTTAAAGTGAAAAAATAGTGTGGTAGAATCTAATTGAAACATTTATAAAACTCGCTTTCAGTAACTGAACTTTGCAATATTTAAATTAGATTGTACAATATCTCTTTGTGTGTATATATAGGCTATATATATATAATTTGGAAGCCATTTTAATTCCTTTTAAGTCGAAAATGTTCGTAAATATGAAAATTTTATCAATAATAGCGAGTCAAATGTTTTAAATTATAATTGCTCATTATAGGAATTTCGTTCTGTTACTAATATAAATAACATTTATATTACCATAAATCAAGTAAGATTTATACAATATTAATTAAACCTATATAAATTTCTTGTATTTTTCTTCAGTGTTCTCAGTTTCAATTGAAAGTTTCACTGAATAGAAGTTTCAATTATCCTGCGGATATTGCGACAAAATACATAATTTTCTTATTGTAGATTTGATAAGATCAACAATGTTATTTACTATTTATAAGAGAATTTTATTAAGTAATTCATATTTAATCACTAAATTACGATTAAAATTCATATTTAAATACAATTAAAGCATTTGAAAACAACGGCCACTGACGGGAACATAAAAAATAGCAGGCGTTTAGAGGTGGCCATTGTTGGATATTCGACTGTAATTAAATTTGAATAAATGGAATATATTTAGAAGTTAAATAGAACCATATACTAATTCTTTTCTGCTGTTAAAATTCTTTGATCGAAAATTGGATATTTTAGTATTTGATCATAAAGTTCACAAGGATAGATGCCTGTACGTTGACACTTCTGGAATGCTTTGAAAATATCAATATATCGATATTCATTGCTCTGAAATATGTGACGTTACCTTATCTAAATCATATGTACTGTAACTGCTTCGGTATTTCCTATTGCTGAAATTTTTAAACGTTTATTAAAAATCAGCTGCAGCTTTTATTTTGGGGGATTAGTACAAATTTTCTATAAATAAGTCGATTAAATATTTTCATTTTAGTTTTTCATAAGGATACTTTGTATAAATCTACTATTTCAGATGTTATTTTTTTCTCTATGAGTTAAAGAAAACATCTTTTAAAGTTATATATAGACGCGAAAAGAAGGGAAATTCCTAAAATTACAAAGTTAACAAGCTAAATCGAAAACAAGTGAAATGTTACGATTATGCTTTAAGTATAAAATAATAATTTATATCGAGAAATTAGTTTTAATAGAAACATTTTCCATGATTTTTAAAATATCTTGGTCATTATACTTTAATTTAAATTAATTAAGATTTGTTTTAAAAATTAATTAAAAATTATGTATGTCATTTGTTTTTTATCATACAGTTATTTTCAAATATGAAATATTTAATATTTGATGTTAAAAAAAGTTCACTTTCAGTTGAAATTTCATTTCAAACTCCTAACAGTCCAAAATTTCAATTATAGTTTCTATANTAATTTATATTTATTTGTTTTCTAGTAGCAACAATAGTTACGAATGTTATTTTAATTTTTCAATTATTGAGTTGCAATTTGAAAAAACTGTAGACCTATAAATGCCCACTGTCGTCCGTCAGTTTGTCTGTCTTTCCTTAATCTCGAAAATGGTGTTAGATAGATGAGAGACGAGACAAGATGTGGAAACCTTAGAAGGAGATGACCCCGATTAACTATATACAAACTTTCAATGCAAACCAGAAGTCACGTTATTTCAATTCAAAACTTTCTCCCTGAAAACAGTTATAGATGACCGGCACGACTTTATTGTTAAAAGGAAAAGTATGATGTACAGGGGCAAGACACTACAGTGCTAATTGAGATGGAGAGCATATATTTTAGATGAAATAGATTAAAAATTGCATGCCGGCACTGTGACGATGTCACAATAAATAATTGCTTGTTGCAATATAATTTTGCTTTAAAAAACAGGACTAAATATGATAAAATTTTCATAATTTTTTAATCTCCTATTTTAAATTTTTATATCAACAACATGCTTATACAGTAACCTATATACAATCAATAAAAATAGAGAATAATTTCAAGATTAATGTATCTTTTAAAAATTCGAAAAATTCAAAAAATTTGATTAGATGAAGACTTTTCATGAAAGATTTTTATGCATTTTAATTAAGTAATTACTTTTAAAAATTGAAATAAAGATTTTTAACTTTTGTGTTTTAGTAATAAAGAGAACAGAATATAAATTTAATATTATCAAAAGAATTTTAAAGTTTCGTTATTCATTAATATGAAATTAAGAATAAAAAAATCCAGCAACGAGTTACTTAACTTTCCCGACAGCATTTAATGACACCATCTGTTATCATATTTTATTTAAAAACATTTTATATTTTTAACTATTATAAAATGGCAAAAAGCTTAATTTTGAGGGTAGGGATGGGATTTTTATTTTTAAAAAAATGTAAATGTTAATAACGAGTAAAATCGTCATTAAGTCCGACCCCCTTTATCTCCCCACTCTCTCGACCTTTAATCACCAAAATAGTATCAATCCCCTAATACACAAACCTACCTGCAAAATTTCAGAAATTTTTGACAAAAAACATAGGAGTTATTAAGCTTTAAAGACGGTGAATAAAATCGTGTTCCCACACACACTAACATCCATATATACAAAAAAAATTCCCGAATTCTTTTGCTTTTCTCGACGTTTCAAGGACACCTGAATCCAAAAATATAAAAATCTTCGGGGGCTATTTTTTGACCGATCGCCGTACTTTCCCTCTGTAATATATAACAGTCAGAAAAGTATTAAAAACATACAAAAAATAATGTACTAAAAATACTAATATACACATTAATATAATGGTAATGTATCAAACAGATGTTTAAATGCATATAAATTTCAGTCTTTTGAATATTTCTAGAGTATTTAAAGTAGGTTATTTAGCGTTTGAAATACTTTAGAGTATGTCAAATACTCTGTGGTATTTCGAATACTAATTAAAATACTAAATACTTATGTTGAGTATTTGAAAATGCAAATACTTTGAATCTCCTAGCTAAAGTATTTCAAATATAAAAGGAAATATTCTCAAAGAATTTGAAATAGGAATTGAAATACTTTTATTTGTACCACATAATATGACCCAGGTAATGTTGAACTTCAAGAGTATTTGTGAAAACGTGACCGTATTGCAGTTTCATATTATAAAAGAACTTCTTGTCTCGAAAATTGTTGAAATTAATATCTCAAATACTATAGTAGAGGTAACAGAGACTTATCACACCACTACTGGTAACATCAAAATGACATTCCTATCATCAGAATGCAACTTTATTACTGGTACGCATTTCGGTACACAAGACCCACACAGTACTATGAGGATTACAGGCCTACAATACTCAGTTTCATATTATTAAAGAATTTCAATTAGCGTAAAGTTCTAAGATTGGTAATAAATGATGAAAGATCATGAAAAATTTTATGATTTTATTTAATTATAGAAAAGAATAGTTTTCTGAAAATAATTTCACTTTTTTCTTTAATTTAGATGTAACTTACGTTAGTTATTTCCGAAACGATATGGAAGTGACTTCAACAAAACAATTTCCTAAAAATATAAAACCAAATTGCCAGTGGAAATACTCGTTGATATCAATATGAGATGTTCGATTATCTGGATATTTATTTTTTGTCAATTATCTGTTGCCAAACAATGTCTTCATGATAAAGGTAAGCAAATATAATACAGTAAACTTTGGTTTTTTAAAGGTTTTTCAGAGTATAAATGCTTTTGAAATTATTTTATTAGCCTTTAATTATTATAATTCATGCTTCTGAATATATAAAATACTGGTATGTTTATAAATTATAGGAAAATTCTCAGTTTTCTACTAGAATACTACGTGTTCATTATTATGATGTTAAAACATTTATGAGATTTAACGCATTTCATTTGGTTATCGCAACAGTTCAAATAAATAATTAATTGATAATGACTTTCTTAATTAAAACCAGATAATTATCAATGCAAAAACTCAACTTCTATGAATTCTATTTAATTAAGAGTTTTCAGAGTTTAATTAATTAATATTGTTTTTCGCACGTTCCTTTTGCACTTGTATTTTCTAAAATAATTAAATCTTAATTCAGAAAAATTTTTATTACTAATCTTTAAGGAAACATAAATTCAAATTTTATCTAATTTGCTATATTAAATTTGCCGCTATTTAAAAATGTAATGCTGTAATTACCCATAATCACTTTTCTAATGAAAGAAAACTTTAAAATGTACATAATTTCAAGACAAATACAAAAGTCAATTGAAGCCTTCTCGATAAGACCATTTCGTGCCATAAGTCTACGAACCTACAAAGAAATATCGATTCCACTTGTATCCAATTATGTTCCTGTGGCATAATAAAGACGTATTGAGAAGAATATTTTATTCTGGAGACAAAAATACATAAATGTTTATTAAAATAGTTTCTTACTATATTCGAAGTCTTGTAAGATTAAAATCGTCTTACTATGATTATTAAATAAGCTTAATATTTCGTAAATAAAGCTTAAATTACGTTTTAACTAGTAAAAATGAATAAATAACAATCCAGTTAACACTGCAGCAATATTATATAACGAATTTTGCAGTCAGTAGCAGAATGGATAGCACCACTAAATAATGATAGTTGGTCGTAGATTCGCGCCTGATCACCATGCTGGCCATGTGGCGTTTTCCGGATTTTTTCACGCTTTTTATGGAAATTATGAAAAAATGGCTTCTTTCAGGAACTTCCCATTATCAGGTCGCTCATATGTAGAGCTGCCTTAATTAATTAAACCATCAATCCAATTTAATCCAATCCCAGTTGGGCCCTTCTTTAAGTGTCCATTGGATGGAAAGAGCCAAACACGTGAAAACACAAATATTTGGTTTATAACAAAACCTTTATAAACTTTAAATGTAAATTGTTATTATGTTATATTATGTTTTTTTTTAACTTTATTATTGTAGAATAGTAGATTAATTATTATACGCTTACTACGTGAATGTACTGTACAGTTGACATACGTAGATCTGTAACGCACTGCGTACAAAAAAGAAAAAAAATACGAAGTTACACAATGTTAGGGTTCAAGTACCAGACCTGGCCTTATTATTGTTTTTGGTTCTCATAATTCAACAAAAAAAAAGACGTATAAGTAACAGTTCATAAATGAAAATTTTTTATTAAATTGAATAATAAGAAAAAAACAAATTGATTAATTGTACCAACAGTTAGTATATTTGTCAAATATTCAAATAGTCAAGTAACAAAAACAAAGAATAAACAATTAATCAAAGAAAGTCTTATTTCATATAATAATAAATTCAAAAATCCCATCTCCACCTCAAAAAGAAATACTCAAAAAAGTATACTTCTTACGCTAATCACTTCACAGAGTCTAAGGCTGTTATACACGGTAAGGAAATCCTTTGAGGATTAACCGTGATTTTTTTTCTATCTATCCATTTTTAAATAAAAAAAATTCTTTATACGTTGAGAGATATTTTAATAAGTTTTGTAAATTACTATGTTCGATCCAGCCAGTTATATCCGAGTTTTTTTCGTCTGTTAAGCACATCCTTTGAGGATTTCCTTACCGTGTATACCAGCCTTAATTAATAATACAACGGTCGTCGCCAGGAGCTGCACCACACGGCTGTATTGGATGTGCCGTGTTTTATCCGATGTTCAGTGCAGCTTCGCACTGCCCTAATGTACATTATTTTGCGTCACGGGATCAGTCGCGGATGCAAAATTAGTATCTCGGTCTTTTTTGACTTTGTTTGCACAAAGAGGGTTTAGGAGTGTGTCCTTAAAAAAAGAAAATCTCCGAAAAGAAAATAACTAACTAAAAATAACGCCCGAAAACATAAAATACGAACGGACTGACTCCTTACAGATCTAGTCATTTACCATACTGAATATAAAATTAATATACATATATATGAAAAATCAAACAGAAAACCATAAGAATTCTTATTTACACTTTTCTTTTTTTTTTTGAAGAACAAATCTCCAAACGTTACTTCTACTCTGGCGACACAATTCTTCCAATATATATAGAAGCAAGTAAACGACCCACACACAAATTAGTGTCTAACATTTTAAAGATACTTTTGCAAGAGAAACTCGGATACCATGACACCATTTTATTGTTACAAGATGAAGCCGTTGCATGCACTGCTACTTTGCAACGTATAACGGGATGCTTTTCTCCAGAGTAAGCAAAGTATACGAATTTCTCATTAATTAAATTTCATTGATGAAAGTTAAATTTTATTGTCAAAATATTTAGAAAATGCAAAAAAGTAGAAAATTTCGATTCAACTGCTAGGCCTATGATAAATCTAGAAGTATGGATTGGTCCTGGATTTAATTTGGATAAATGGAGTGATTTAACAGAAATCGAAGATTGTGGTCCTTTAGGTCCCATTGGAAGGTAATAAACGCTTATGTGCTTCAATAATTTTTTAAAATTATTATTATAGAATTTTATATTTGGATATTTTCTCGCAGATCTGATTGGTATATTTCTGAAAAATACGTCAAAGATAAATGGAATGTTAACGAAACAATACTAGATCATTGGAGAAGTTATCAAGACAGTGGCATTGTGACTCCTTTCAATCTTTTGAATGAACCTGAATTTTCAACCTGGGTATTTGATAAAGAAAGTAACAGTTATTATTGTTCATATACAAAATGCGAAAATGGTGTTTTTTCACCTCCACTGTGCCAAAATTCCAATGTGACGTGTGCAACTCTCCTGGCTGATTACCCTGGTAAGTATTAAAATCAGTAAATTTTCATTTGATTCAAATATTTTTAACCTAACACAAATTCTTCCACAGTTTCCTCTTATCGAGTTCTGAAAGATCAGATTATTCAGTTAAAATTGCTTGTCAATGTCGCTTGGGTAGGACCACATTTAGAAAATATTGTTAGGAATCGATTCCATAAAAATGAACCGACATTGTTTTTTTATTGGAAACCGAGTGCACTCATATCATCGAAAAATTTCACTCATATTTCTTTTCCTTCGTGTAGAGACAATATTTACCGTTCATCTCTTCCATGCGAGTTTGAAATCAGTCAACTTGAAAAGGTATAATTAATTCAATTTATTTAAATAATTTCTTTGTACTAATTACAAATTAAATTGCAATCCATCCGAATATTTTATATTAAAACTTGTTAATATTTTCGGTCTATCAGTGGCCGAATGGATAAATCCACTGAACATACTGGTAATTGGTTGCTGTTTGCACCTGACCAACAAGCTGGCCACGTATTTTCCAGGTGTTTTTCATGTGTTTAAAACCTAAATAGAGTCAAGTTTCCCATAGAAAATATTTCCATGGGCATTCCGTAGTGTTATGTTGCTGTATCCCATCAAACCAAACCATTTAATATTTTCAGGTAATATGGAAGAAATTGAAAAGTAATGCTCCTCTTGTATACCAGTTGGTGAATTCTATGAATTATCATCAGACAGAATATATTCAACTGTTGAAGTATACATCCACTGACAAAACAATAGAGGAAGCCGCTTGCATTTGGATTAAGGAAAATGATTATATATGGAGTAAATGGTTACCAGATGATATTCCAGATAAGACAGTTCTCTACATAGGTGGAATTTTCCCTGTTACAGGTCCCTATAAAGAACTTACTGGTGTCATACCAGGTTAGTTTAACATTGGGAAATATATCACATCATGTAAAATTTTATTTAATAATTTTTTTTTTCTTTTAAAGCTGCCGAATTGGCTGTAGATGCAGTTAACAAGAATAATAGTATTTTGAAGAATTATAAATTAGAATTATTGATTCAGGACGGACGTTGCATGGCAGATGTTGTTATGAAAACTTTTATAAGTTATGTGACAAATTCTAGTTTCAATCGATTAATCGGAATTTTGGGTAATTGTCTAAATATATAAATTTTTATCCAATTTGTTACAATTTGCCATTGAATTACATTCATTTCCTAAAGATAATTAAATAATAATTTATAAATATTAACATTTAATTTTGTAGGGTCAGCATGTTCGGATACTGTGGAACCCATTGCAGGTGTTGCCAAGCATTTTAATTCTATTATTATAAGTTACAGCGCGGAAGGAGCATTATTCAATAATCGTGAAAAATATCCTTTCTTTTTAAGAACTACACCAGAAAATAACCAATTAAGGCAAAATAAATCTTTAATATAGAAACTTTCATTAGGCTTTATCACAGTGATGCTTACAATCAATGATTTTCTATTCCAGGTTTGTATTTTTAAAGCTTTTTCTTCATTTTGGGTGGCATCGAATAGCTGCTTTAACAGAAGATGGTCAAAACTATCCAGAATATTTATCGCTACTTCACGATCTTTTACAATCGCAAGGATTAAATTTTATTAGTAATAGAAAATTTCCACGAAATCGTTCGTCGAATAACATGTCTCAGTATCTTCTTGATCTCAAAAATAAAAAAGCTCGCATCATAATTGGCGTTTTCTACGATTCCACTGCAAGAGCTATCATGTGTGAAGCTTATAAACAGGTAATATACGAGTATATTCTATCTTTACTGATAAACGTGTCTGTTATCTGAAGTTAACGATATTCACGAAGTTCGATATATCAAAGATAGCTTCATATGTACACAAATCAATCCAAACTGAATATCTCCATATATATTAATATGAGATTAATATTTTTAAAGCTATTTAATGAGAAATAATCAATTAAACTTTTGAATTATGCTTGGTGTATTAGAGATATTGAATGGAAAAAAACTTATGCTTAATATCAGCATAAGTTTTGATAGTAAGCATTTAATTATATGCTATATGTCAAATAACATTTATTTTAAGATTTGAAAAAGAGTTTGGTAGATTAAAGCAGTTTGAAGATTAAAGATTATTTAAAATTTTATAAAAATTAGGAACGGAATAGAATTAAATATTTTAAAACATTTAATAAATTACAAGAATCTACAAGCAAAAGTAAGATAGGAAAATGACACAAGTAGAGTAAGATACGAATGTGAATTGTTCTATCCCTGTTTAACACATACAATGAATGAATAATGAGAGACATATTTGAAGACATAGAAGTAGAAAGGTAAGATGTGCAACCGCATATCTTACATTTCTATTAATAAATAGTGTAAGATATTTTCTACTAGTAAACAGTGTAGGATATGCAATCGCATTTTAGTACTAATGGACCAGGTGCCACCAGAATAAAACGGGATAAAATAGTTTTAAAATATTGTTCGAAGAATAGTGACGTTGGTGAGGTCGTATATTTGATTTTATAAATTAAACATTACAATCAAAGTTAATATATTTATTAAAAGTAAAAAACAAATAAAAAGTGAATAATAAATTATTAAATTAAAACTAATTTCATCTTTCATTCTTGTTTTATCTTGTAATATTTAATAGAATTGAAACTCAAAGAGCTCTTAACAAAACAATATTTATGGGTCTTATGATATATAATCAAATTACTTTCATGAAAATATTTGTGGAAATACTTTTTCACTTTATTTTACTGAAAAAATAAATATTTAATATTAATAATTATAGTAATAAAAATACAGGGTGATTCACTAGGAACTGGAAACTTATTACATGAAATAACTTCGTATATATGAGCATGAAACACAAACGGAGCGATTCTTCGTTTCATGACGAAATAGTCCACAGTCGACCGAGGTATTTTACATTACATTGTTATTCAAGTGTGACTCTGTAATCTTGAGATATTGAAGAAAGCACGTGTTCAGTTCCGAGTAAATCACTTGTAATTAATTGAAACAACACCAAAGGGATGCAAATATCTCAGACTATGAAACCACAGTATTTAAAATTTAAGTAAATAAATTGTTAACATTTTAGTTTATATGTAAAATTTAAAAAAAAAAAAAACGTTTAATTTATTGATATTTTTAATATTTATAATTTCTAACGATTATTTCACTCAAGAAAAAATTGTTGTAAACTCAAAACGGTTTGGNATATTTATAATTTCTAACGATTATTTCACTCAAGAAAAAATTGTTGTAAACTCAAAACGGTTTGGGACACCTCCAATAGTCAATGTCCAAACAATCTCCTTATAGGCATATTATCTTTTTAACACGCTTTACCACGATTCTTATATTTTTAAAGTGCCATATCGTAAATTGACGCATCATCTCTATGCATTATTATGGAAATTACAGCAAGAATAATCAAACTGTTGTTTTTCTGAACTTTTTCAAACAAACAAAAAGCCTAAAAACTCTTGTTACACCTCTCCTGAATAATACGAAATAAATGTATTTCAGATTATAAAATACAAT